ATCTATTCGCATGGACCTGTCCGCCGTGAGTGTCTGGGCGCAAGAGCTTTCGAATATAAACGGGCTTCAGTTGTGGCGGTCTGGTCATGAATCTACTTGCGAATGAATTGGAGTGTGAATGAGCCTGAGTAGTACGAGCGCGTCTCTGCGCATGAGCCTGGGGCCTCCTGGGGCCTCCTGAAACCTACTGGGGCTTCCTGGGGCCTCCAGGAGCCTCTTGGGGCCTCCTGGGGCCTCCTGGGACCTCCCAGGGAGGCTTCGTGCCCCATGAGAGGTCCAATTTATAGCAACCGACGTACATAAAACATTGCGGATTGGATCCAATCTATAGGAACACACGTAAAGCACCAATGACTCGTGCCCCAGGAGAGGCCCAACATGTAGGAACATAAGTAAAACGTTTAGGATTGTGTTCACAGGAGAAGGGCAACCTATAGAAGCATACGTATAACGTCAAGGATTCGGCTCCAGGTGAGGCCCCATCTATAGGAGCATACGTAAAACACATGGGATTGGAGCCATTCCTGTTGCCTTCTGAGGCCTCCTGCTCCTGGGGCCTCTCGGGGCCTCCTGTTGCCTTCCGAAGTCTCCTGGCGCTTCCTGTGGCCTCCTGGGGCCTCCTGTGGCTTCCTGAAGCCTCCTGGAGCTTCCTGGGGCCTCCTGGAGTCTCTTGGGACATCTTGTGGCCTCTTGAGTCTGTCTGTTGCCTCCTGATGCCTCCTGGGACCTCATGTGGTCCACAGGGGCCTCCTGGAGCCTGTTGGAGCATCCTGTGGCATCCTGAGGAGAACCTGTGCCCACGAGTCTGGCCACCCAAACAGGTAAACCGAGCGAGACATTCTCAAAATCTGGCCCACCTGGGGGGTGAAAACGAACGCCTCGCTCGAGACATCCTGCAACTCTGCTCCGAAAGCGAATGATGTTGGGACAGAAACCAGGCAAACCGCTTGAGACATCCCCACAAAACGGCCGCGAACGGGACCGTGTCATACCCCTCGGCCGCCCCCCTTAGGGGCGTGAGAATGAGCGCCTCGCTCGAGGCATCCTCCAAGTCTGCTCCGAAAGCGAAGGGTGTTGGGACAGAAAACAGGCAAACCGCTTGAGACATCCCCACAAAACGGCGGCGAACTGGACCGTGTCATACCCCTCGGCCGCCCGCCTTAGGGGCGTGAGAATGAGCGCCTCGCTCGAGACATCCTCCAAGTCTGCTCCGAAAGCGAAGGATGTTGTGACAGAAAACAGGCAAACCGCTTGAGACATCCCCACAAAACGGCCGCGAACGGGACCGTGTCATACCGCTCGGCGGCTCCCCTTAGAGGCGTGAGAATGAGCGCCTCGCTCGAGACATCCTCCAAATCTGCTCCGAAAGCGAAGGGTGTTGGGACAGAAAACAGGCAAACCGCTTGAGACATCCCCACGACACGGCCGCGACCGGGACCGTGTCATACCCCTCGGCGGCTCCCCTTAGGGGCGTGAAAATGAGCGCCTCGCTCGAGACATCCTCCAAATCTGCTCCGAAAGCACATGATGTTGTGACAGAAAACAGGCAAACCGCGTGAGACATCCCCACAAAACGGCCGCGAACGGGACCGTGTCATACCCCTCGGCGGCTTCCCTCAGGGGTGCTGAAACCAGCGCCCAGCCTGAGACATTCTCACAATCTGCTGTGTGTTGAGTAAGTCAGACAATGAGAAGGCCTGAGTATGAGTAAGTCTGGGTATGAGTGAGTCTCAGCATGAGTAAGTCTGAGTATGAGTAGGTCTGAGTATGAGTAGGTCTGAGTATGAGTATGTCTGAGTATGAATAGGTCTGAGTATGAGTAGGTCTGAGTATGAGTAAGTCTGTGTATGGGTAAGCCTGTGTATGAGTAAGTCTGGGTATGAGGAGGAGAAGAAGAAGAGGAAGAAGGAGTAGGAGGCGTGCAAGTAAAAACAAGAACCCCATCTTAGGATACGGGGAATAACAAGAACCCCATCTTAGGATATGGGGAACAAAAGCGTGCGCGCGCGCTCTTGCGTCGTCGTCGTCGTCGTCGTCGCCGTCCTCCCTCCTCCCGCGTCGTCGTCGTCGTCGCCTACGTCGTCCTCTGTCTTTCCTCGTGTTCCTGGTCGTCGTCCTCTTTGGCGTCGTGGTCGTTTCCGTCGTCGTTGTCGCCGTGGTCGTCCTTCCTCCTCCTCCCTCGTCGTCGTTGTCGTCCGTCGTCGGCGTCTCGTCGTCGTCCCTCCTATTTCGTCGTCGTCGTTGTCGTCGTCGTCGTCGTCGTCGTCGTCATCCCTCCTCCCTCGTCGTTGTCGTCGTCGGCGTCGCCGTCCTTCCTCCTTCGTCGTTCGCGTCGTCGCCGTCCTCCCTCTTCGTCGTTGTCGTCGTTGTCGTCGTTGTCGTCGGTGTCGCCGTTGTCGTCCTCCCTCCTCCCTCGTCGCCGTCTTCGTTGGCGACATCGTCGTCGTCTTCGTCGTCGTCGTCGGCGTCGGCGTCGTCGTCTTCGTCGTCGTCGACGTCGTCGTCGTCGTCGCCGCCGTCGTCGTCATCGTCGGCGTCGTCGTCGCCGACGTCGTCGTCGGTGTCGTTGTCGTCGTCGTCGTCGGCGTCGTCATCGTCGGCGCCGTCGTTGTCATCGTCGTCGTCGTCGGCGTCGTCGTCGTCGTCGTTGTCGGCGTCGTCGAAGTCGTTGGAGACGTCGTCGGTCACGTCGTAGTCGTTGTCGGCGGCGTCGTCGTCGTCGTTGTCGCTAACGTCGTCGGCGTCGCTGTCGCTGCCAAGTGCAATTTTGTACCCACCGTCACGGGTCTAAGGGATTTTGCAAACCAAGTTGCGGGTGGGTGGGTGGGATGTTTGCAAGAGCGCGGGATGTGTCAATTCGTTTGTTAAAATCAACACCGCCGCATAGATTTTCTTTTCTAATAAGAAAACAGACTCTACCCCCTTCTGGCGTTATCGGCACCCCTTTCGGGTATGCAAATCATTTATGATTCTGACCACATGTCCATCCTAAATATGAATTTACAATGTCCCGGGGGAACGGGTGTCGCCCCCCCTTAGGTTCCCTGGTGAAAAACGATACGCGGGGACATCTTGTGTTCTAACATAACACTTCTTCACGAATCCCTTGCAACAAATTTGACGAAGTGCGCACGCGCGCGTCGTCGCGCGCGCATGCTGGAATCCGTCAAACACCTTCGGTGACGGAAGGATTTCGCAATCGAGCTTCCAAAAAACATACAAAACACAGCGTTTCGCAACACGGATTTGCTAAAAAAGCTTACGCGCGAGCTCTCGCGAAATCTTAAGAAAACCATGGGTTTTTCTAGATTTCGAAAACATGCTACCAAACGGGCTTCGCGCGCGCATGTCGAAATCTGTCGAACGCCCTTGCGCGTGTGCCGTCGCGAGAATCCTTTGCAAAACATGGGGCGAAGTGCAGACGCGCGCCGTCGCGCGCGTATACAGCAATCCTTCACAACCCATCGGTTTCGGAAGGATTTTAAAATCGTGTGTCCAACAATCCTACAACAACATACGTTTTCGCAACACGGATTTTCAACAAAAGCGTGCGCGCGCGCTCTTGCGTCGTCGTCGTCGTCGTCGCCGTCCTCCCTCCTCCCGCGTCGTCGTCGTCGTCGTCGTCGCCTACGTCGTCCTCTGTCTTTTCTCGTGTTCGTCGTCGTCGTCCTCTTTGGCGTCGTTGTCGTTTCCGTCGTCGTTGTCGCCGTGGTCGTCCTTCCTCCTCCTCCCTCGTCGTCGTCGTCGTCCGTCGTCGGCGTCTCTCGTCGTCGTCCCTGCTATTTCGTCGCCGTCGTCGTCGTCGTCGTCGTCGTCGTCGTCGTCTTCCCTCCTCCCTCGTCGTTGTCGTCGTCGGCGTCGACGTCCTTCCTGCTTCTTCGTCGTTCGCGTCGTCGTCGTCCTCCCTCCTCCCTCGTCGTTGTTGTCGTTGTCGCCGTCGTCGTCCTCCCTCCTCACTCGTCGTCGTCGTCTTCGTTAGTGACATCGTCGTCTTCGTCGTCGTCGTTGTCGTCGGCGTCGTCGTCGCCGTCGGCGTCGTCGTCGTCCGCGTCGTCGTCGTCGTCGTCGTCGTCGTCCTTGTCGTCGGCGTCGTCGTCGCCGTCGTCGTCGTCGTCGGCGTCGTCGTCGTCGTCGTCGGCGTCGGCGTCGTCGTCGGCGTCGTCGTCATTGTCGTCGTCGGTGTCGCCGCCGTCGTCGTCGTCGTCGTCGTCGTCGTCGTCGTCATCGTTGTCGTCGTCGTCGAAGTCGTCGGAGCCGTCGTCGGTGTCGTCGTAGTCGTCGTCGGCGACGTTTTCGTCGTCGTTGTTGTCGCTGTCGTCGTCGGCGTCGCGGTCGTCGCCAATTGCCATTTGGTATCCACCGTCGTGGTCTGAAGATGTCTTGCGACCAAGTTGCGGGTGGGAGTGTGGGATGTTTGCACGAGCAGTGGAGAGGACAGCTTCAAGACAGTCAAAGTGAACTGCACCGCATAGACTGCTCCACATGTATCGCCCAACTTGTACCACACATTTTGCACAATATAAATCGCACGTCAGATATTGCACAACATCGGTGACACAACGTAGATCGCACCACATTGGCTGTCTGCGCGACATAGATTGCTAGAAACACACTGTTTGGGGTCCACGCTGGCAAACATTACACCAGGCAGCGCTTGGCATCATTCCACGCCTCCATTTGCCAGGGGGCACTTTAGCAGATCAGTCTTCCGAACACTGTGGCCTCGGGCGATTTCGCTGCGGAGCAAAAGCATGTCGCGGCGGCGCCCAGAAGCGTGAGGGGGGCGAGGGGAGCCGCCTTCTCAGACGGCGGGAGGTCAGCTTGGAAGCGCACCTGTCTTCCAAGAGGAATCCCTCGAGAAGTTCGCTGCCACTGTGGCTCAAGGGTCGACGCCTTGGGTCGAAGCGTTACTGTGCGCAGGTTGTGCCCTGAGGCATTTTCGGTCGCCTGTTCCAGTTCGGCCATCAGCACCTTTGCAGGGCTGCGCGGTCGCAGTTCACATGCACTCTGCATCGAGCTGCAGGGGCGAGGGCAGCGGAACGGAAAGCGGCGGTTTTGATTCGCTGTTCGCGCGCGCGAAGCAGGCACACGATTTGGAGATCAGGCGCCTCCAGGATAAGGTGCGGAGCCTGCAGGAGAAGCTGGCCGCCCCGCGTGGGGATGAGCAGACCTCTCGTGCAGACGCGCTCGCCGAGCGGGCAGACCCGCCCAAGGAAACCGCCCTCAACGGGCAAGAAGCGGAGAGGATGTCGGGACTATCTGCCAGTCCGCGCTTCTATCCACCCAGCCTTCAGATGTCCAAAAGGCAAGGCATTCAACAGAAAAAGTCTGACTCGGCAGAAAGTGTCGCGCATCGGATCATCGCACATCCAGCGTTCGAAATTGTCATGGTTTGCGTGATCGTCATGAATGCAGCCGCCATGGCTGCCGAGGCGCAGTACATAGGGTTTGATTTGGCTGTCCAGACCGGTCATGAGAGTGCAGATGGTATCTCATCCGATGTGTGGCCACATGGCGAAGCGGTATTCGACGTGTGTGATTGGGTATTCGGAGTATTCTTCACGTTCGAGATTGTCGTCAAGATTTTAGTCCTCCGTTGTCAATTCGTTCGGGACCGCTGGTGCTGGATCGATCTCGTCGTAGTCCTTGCCTGGGTGTTTGGTCGCTTCGACTTCAAAATGAATGTGAACGTGCAAATGATTCGCCTGATTCGCATGGTGAGGCTGCTGCGGCTGATTCGGCTTCTGCGGCTTCTGGATCGCTCAGGATTTGACCCTCTCTACGTCATAGGAACCTCGCTCAAAGGAAGCATATCGATTCTGGCGTGGGCGTTCCTGCTATTGTTCGTCGGCCATGTGATGTTGGCTCTTGTCATCCATCAGGTACTTCATCTCTGGTACTTCGAGAAGGGGTCCGCCGACGAACAAGACGTGGTTTTCGAGTATTTCGGGAACTTCTCCAGGTCACTCCTCACCATGTTCGAATTCACTCTCGCAAATTGGACACCCCCGGCAAGGGTGTTGATGAATCATGTGCATGAGGCGCTTGTAGCGTACTCTATCTGTCACAAGATGATACTCGGATTCGCAGTTATAGGGATCGTGAACGGGGTATTCATTCAAGAGACATTCAAGGTTGCCACGCTGGACGATGCGATAATGGTGAGGCAGACGTATCGCAAAGAGAGGGTCCACGCTAAGAAGATGGAGCGTCTCTTCGCCGAGGCAGACAAAGATGGTAGCGGCCATGTCGATCGCGATGAATGGATGCAGATCTGCACGGATCCGTGGATTCAGATTTGGCTCAAGTCTCAGGATATCGATGTGAGGCATCTGGACAGAATATTCGATACGTTGGCCGGCGGGGACGGGAAGATCAGCGCGGAAGAGCTCATCCATGGCACTGCGCGGCTGAAGAGTCAAGCTTCGCCCATGGCCATTCTCAAGTTGTTGAAGGAAATGGATCGTACCTTGAAGCACATTGAGGACACGGCTTGCGAGGCTCGTTGGGAGTCCATGCCGCCAGTCGACTGTGCCCCCGACCCCTCGCTCCCTGTACGCCTCCTGGGTAGCGCCGCTCCTTTGCCCCAGCGACACTGAGCCCTGACGCGTGAATCTGTGCTGCGCAAGTGCCTGTAACGTTATCATGTACATTAAAATTCTTCACGCTTCGCGTATCCCCACCAGCCCATCTAAAACAGCAACTCTTGCGAAGCATGCCGACAGTCGTGTTTTTCAGGCGTGTTTCCGCCTGCCCCCGCATATCTCCGGGCCTCTCGTCCTGGTGTGAGTCGTTCGGGCCCTTCTTCCTGGTGTGAGTCGTTCGGGCTCTTCGTCGTGGTTTGAGTCGTTCGGGCTCTTCGTCCTGGCGTGAGTCGTTCGGGCTTCTCGTGGTGTGAGTTGTTCGGGCCCTTCGTCCTGGTGTGAGTCGTTCGGGCTCCTCCTCCTGGTGTGAGTCGTTCGGGCTCCTCGTGGTGTGAGTCGTTCGGGGCCCTCGTCGTGGTGTGAGTCGTTCGGGCTCCTCGTGGTGTGAGTCGTTCGGGCGCCTCGTCCTGGTGTGAGTCGTTCGGGCCCCTCCTTCTGGTGTGAGTCGTTCGGGCTCTTCGTGGTGTGAGTCGTTCGGGCCCCTCGTCCTGGTGTGAGTCGTTCGGGCTCCTCGTGGCGTGAGGCGTTCGGGCACCTCGTCCCCTTTTGGGGCGTCTTGGGGGCCTCTTGGCGGCCCCAGGGGCTTCTAGGAGCGTCTTGGGTGCCTTGGGGGAGCCTCTTCGGGCCTCTTGGGAGCCTCATGGAGGCCGTTTGGGGCGTCTTGGGGGCCTCTTGGCGGCCCCAGGGGCTTCCAGGAGCGTCTTGGGTGCGTCGGGGGAGCCTCGGCCTCTTGGGGGCATCTTGGGGGCCTCTTGGAGGCCTCTTGGGGGCCTCCTAGGGGCCTCTTTGGGCCATCTTGGGGCCTCTTGGTGCCTCCTGGGCGCTTCTTGGGGCCATCTTGGAGGAAGTCGATCAATGAAGAGGGGAGCTTTAATGAGCGCTGCCCCCTCAGAAGGGCAACATGAGGCCAAAACCTTCGTAAAATCAATGATTTTGCCTTGAAGGAAGAGGGGAGCTTTAATGAGCGCTGCCCCCTCAGAAGGCCCAAATGGGGCCAAAACCGTAGTAAAATCAATGATTTTGGCTTCAAAGAAGAGGAGAGGGTTTCTTCCTGGAAAGGGCCTGAGCCCAGGGTTCTCTTTTAGTTGGTTTCCCCCCGGTTTTGACGGCTGTAGGGCCGGCGAATTTCTTTTGCGATAAATAACGAGGTCGCGTAGGGCCGGCGAATTAAAAATTGAGGATGTCCCTAGCGAAACGCTTGTTTTTCAGAATTTGTTGAGGATGTCTCGAGCGAAACGCTGGTTTTGCAGAGTTGGGGATGTCTCGAGCGAAACGCTTGGTTTCAGAATTTGTTGAGGATGTCTCGAGCGAAACGCTGGTTTTGCAGAGCCGACCGCGACACGGAAAAGCGCTCCTCGCGCAGGAATTCCGAGGATGTCTCGCGCGTGCCGCGTCCCGCACGCAGGAATTTTGATTTCTTTGGGTTTTGACAGGATTTCTCAAGCGAAACGCTTGTTTTTCATAATTTGTTGAGGATGTCTCGAGCGAAACGCTGGTTTTGCAAAATTGGGGGATGTCTCGAGCGGGGGCCTCGTGGGGGGCCAGAATTCAGAGGATATCTCAGGCGCAATGCTTGTTTTCGTGTCCCGCTCGCAGGAATTCCGAGGATGTCTCGCGCGTGCCGCGTCCCGCGCGTAGGAATTCGGATGATTGTGATAGGATGTCTCGAGCGAAACGCTTGTCCCCAGCACGTTCAGTAGCGCGTCCCCTTGGCACGTCCCGCGTTGCGACCCCATGGCACGTCCCCTGGCACGTCGCCTGGCGCATCCCTTGGGACGTTTCGCGGCGCGTCCTCCTGGCATGTTCCCCTTGTCAATTAGCTCTGGGGCAGCTACTATGTGTTCAGGCAGCTCGAGCTTAAGATCCAGATCAGTTCGGTCAGGACTCGGATGCAAGGAGGACTCGATCCACGAGGCTATAGAGCACAATCGCGCCATGGCACATCGCAATTCAGCACGGCGCAGCACAGCACTGATTTCGGCACGGTACATCAAGGTCGATGCACTCAGCATTGCAACTTGGCACGTTCCTTGGCACGTTCCGTGGGGCGTCCTTTGGCGAGTCCCCTTGGCACGTCGCGTGGCGCGCCCCCTGGCACATTCCGTGGCACATCCATTGGCACGTTCCGTAGCGCGTCCCTTTGGCACGTCCCGCGGTGCGACCCCATGGCACGTCCCCTGGCACGTCGCCTGGCGCATCCCTTTGGACGTTTCGCGGCGCGTCCTCCTGGCATGTTCCCCTGTCAATTAGCTTGGGGCAGCTACTATGTGTTCAGGCAGCTCGAGCTTAAGATCCAGATCAGTTCGGTCAGAACTCGGATGCAAAGGAGGACTCGATCCACGACGCTATAGAGCGCAGTCGCGCCATGGCACATCGCAATTCAGCACGGCGCAGCACAGCACAGCCCTTGGCATGGTACATCAAGATCGATACACTCAGCATTGCATTTGCCCGTCACCCAATCAGGTGTCTTTGAAAACGTTGCCATGTGTTACAGTTCTATATTCCTTTCCGGGTTCGTGGGTCGATCATGTTCTTCCTCCCCCCGTCGGGGCCAGAATCCTCGTGAGGGGTGTCGTTTTTTAGCCCTCCCAGGAGTCGAAAAGGACTCCCCTGACCACCCGCGGTGGGACCTCTCCAGGCCCAGGGGGAGGGGGTAGGGGGAGGGGTAAACCCCTCCCCGAAGGGGAAGAAGGGGGTTGAGAACAGAGCGGGCGCTCTAAACCACTCACGCCCAAAGGGCTGGTGGGATTTGGCAAGGGGTCTATTCCGACAGGTGCACCATGTCATTCTCAACTGTCAACGTGATCGAGGTTGTGCAGAGTCTCTGTTCAGGAGGTCCGACAGACTCGACATCTGGTGCACAACCTCCTTCGATTCTTGACGCTTCGCTTATCTCTACCAGTTTTGGATCAAGTGGCTCTGAGGGATGCGTCTTGGGTATACGCGGTCTCGTCCCTCGGGTGTTATCCGACTCGTTTTGGGTAGCACTGAGACACTTGGATGTGCTCACGCCGCGTTGTCGACCGTGTATCGTGCACTAAGGCGCCCCTCCACTCGTTGGATCTGGGCTGACGCATCTCAGTTGTGGAAGGTTCTTTTGTCAGCATGTTCCACACTTCGGATGCGCGTTCTGGCGTCGCGACTTGGTGTCGCCGTCGGGATCCCGCTGGACTTATGTCCCCAGTCAGTCTGTACTACCCGTCAGGCTTCTGGATCGACGTCCTCGGGAACGTTCCTTTCGTTCGCACCTGGACTTGGGGAACGCCTCGCGCGCCATTTTGGCTGCGCTTGGTCTCCTCGGTGCCTGTCCTCAGGCTCGTTGGATGCACCGTTGCATGCCCGTCCAGGGGCTGTCTCAGGCTCCCTGGATTGCATCGGCTCTGCCGCCCTGGACGCTGCCGTCCGCCGCCTGATCCGCGGCCCCGCGCATTGCACTCAGCATTGCAACTTGGCACGTTCCTTGGCACGTTCCGTGGGGCGTCCCTTGGCGAGTCCCCCTGGCACGTCGCGTGGCGCGTCCCCTGGCACATTCCGTGGCACATCCATTGGCACGTTCCGTAGCGCGTCCCCTTGGCACGTCCCGCGGTGCGACCCCATGGCACGTCCCCTGGCACGTCGCCTGGCGCATCCCTTGGGACGTTTCGCGGCGCGTCCTCCTGGCATGTCCCCCTGTCCATTAGCTCTTGGGCAGCTACTATGTGTTCAGGCAGCTCGAGCTTAAGATCCAGATCAGTTCGGTCAGGACTCGGATGCAAAGGAGGACTCGATCCACGACGCTATAGAGCACAGTCGCGCCATGGCACATCGCAATTCAGCACGGCGCAGCACAGCACAGCCCTCGGCAGGGTACATCAAGATCGATACCTTCAGTATTGAATTTGCCCGTCACCCAATCAGGTGTCTTTGAAAACGCTGCCACGTGTTACAGTTCTACATTCCTTTCCGGGTTCGTGGGTCGATCATGTTTGCATTGCATATTTCGGATAAGCGTTGTAATACAAGCAGACCATATTCAGCGTTTGAAACAACATAGTTCGACTCCGACCGCGCCAACAAATAAGCACCCCTAGTGAGGCGAGCCCGAGGCAGTCCTGAAGAAGGCTTTGGAGGGCCCCCTCTGGGGCCTCGCCGAGGCCCCTCAGTCAGACCTAGAGAACCCAAGAGAGCTTGTCAAGAGAGCCTGAAAGAGCCTCAATGCGCCTTCCCACCGCACCTCCCTTGTCTTCTAGTCTCTTCTCCTTCGCTCCCTCCGCCCCTTTCCCGCGCCTTCCTCCTGTCCTCTTCGCTCTCGTTCACTATGCTCCTTCTTCGTCCGCTGCGCGCGATGGGGGTGGGAGGAGGGCGGGGGGTAGCTGCAGCGCGCCCCCCCGCCGACGCGGAGAATGTGCAGGCGGTTCCCGTGGTTGGGGTGCTCCTGGTTGGCGATCGCTCTTCTCGTCGCTTCCGTTCCCCCGCCTTTTTTGCGTGGACATGCAAAATCAAATTTGTATAAGCTCATCCATAACAGCGAATTCAATTAAGATGCATTGCAGGTTCAGCCACGCACACATGTTCAGTCCGAATTTATATGACCCACCATCGAACTTTATATGCGCGACGGCGGCGTCAAGGTACGTTATATTTCGTCGCCTCGGGCGTTGACCCTCTGGGGTAAACAAATCGCCAGTGCCTCCGATGAGGCGCGCCGGGTTCTTATCTGACCTCCTCGGACCCCCTCGTGGCGGCCAGCGTCGTTCTCGCGCTCTCTCCGCCGACTCCTGCTGCGCCCATTCCTGCTTTGATTTTTCCTGCGACCCTATTCGCGCCATCGCTTGTGAGTTTTCGGTCACAGAACGTTTGATTGGAAACGATTTTTCAGGACAAAAGTAAGCCCGAAATCGTGCCATCTTTTGTTGGGGCACCGCTCCCACGAGGATAGCGGAACGGCCTCGCTCCAATCTACCACTGTGATA